ATGAATACCCAACTTTTACATCAACATGGATGGGACTGGAGGAGATTATGCTAAGTGAAATAAGTCAAGCAGAGAAAGTCAATTATCATATGGTCTCACTTATTTGTGGAGTATAAGGAATAGCATGGAGGACACTAGGAAAAGGAAGGGGAAAATGAAGGGGGGGAAATCGGAGGGAGAGACGAACCATGAGAGACTATGGAGTCTGAGAAACAAACAGGGTTTTAGAGGGGAGGGGCGTGGGGGGATGGGTTAGCCCAGTGATGGGTATTAAGGAGGGCACGTACTGCATGGAGCAGTGGGTGTTACATGCAAACAATGAATCGTGGATCACCATATCAAAAACTAATGATGTACTGTATGGTGACTAACATAACATAATAAAATTTAAAAAAAAAAGACACCCTTAAAAAAAAAAGGCTGTGTTACTTCTTTCAGATCTGCAGGTGGATTATGTAATGCAAACACTGGTGACTTCATCATAATACTAGCCCCTACCAGAAACAGGCGCTGAGGACGGATGAAAGGCCCTGCCCACGATTTTTGCCTTTGCCTCTAGGTGACACTACACTGGGCAGTCCTGTCTTTTGCCTCCAGCTTTGTAAGTCAGAGGAGTGACTTGCAAACACCACACGATTTAGGAATGGGAGAAAGCAAGTCCGTCAGGGCTAATACCAATTTCAGAATGCCTGATATACTCCCATGGATGAGGCACAGTCTCTTACAAATAGAACTAGATGACAATCATTTATGTCAGCAGTTTCAGCCAGGGCTGCGTATTTGAAATCCTAAGGCACTTACAATATACTGCAGCTGCCCCTCCCCTCTGAGAGAAATGCTCTGGGTGAGCTCACGTAGCTGTGAGTAACAACATTAGGACTGGAAACTGTCGCTTGGTTCTTCAGAGGAACATCAGTAAAGGAGACATTTCATTACAACATAATAATGTGCAAGGCCATGTATTACAGCAGTTAAATGCTATTCTTTTTATTAAAGTCATGGCATCTATGTTCACGAACGAGAAATTTTCTTTACTGGCCCCTATCTTTAAGGGCACGAGATCTAAAATCTCGTGTAAACATTTATTCCTTCACTAAAATAACTGGATGAACTTCCAGTAAAAAAGAAAGAAAGAAAGAAAGAAAGAGAAAGAAAGAAAGAAAGAAAGAAAAGAAAGAAAGAAAGAAAGAAAGAAAGAAAGAAAGAAAGAAAGAAAAGAAAGAAAGAAAGAGAAAGAAAGAAAAAAGAATACCTCTAATATCTTTGTCAACCAACTTTTTGATTTAAACAATTTCTTGGTTTAAAAACCTTAGAGAAGTGACGGCTGCACAACAATGTGAATGTACTCAATGCCTTAATGGTTAACATAGTACATTTTATGCTATGTGTATTTAACCACCGTTTTTTAAAAGGAGAGAAAAACAAAAGAAAAAAGAGAAAGGAAGGAGGGTGAAAGAGGAAAAGATGAGGAGATGGCCCAAAACCAAATCTAACCAGTTTGAGCACCTGCTGGCAGACATTCAAGAAAAGCCTGCTGGGAGGAAGGAGCAGTTCCCCAGGTCCTCAGACCACCAGCAAAGCAAGGCTCTGCAAAGAGCACGGGAAGTAGGTCACTCTGGAAGAGTAACGTGACCCAGCCCATATCCACACAGAGCTTGGTCTCTAATCTAAGACGTGGGGCTGCACAAGGATGTCCTTGATGCTGCCTAAGACCTGGGTTGTATCCAAATGTCACAGTATTTCCACATCTAGGACTCCTCCTAGAGAGAAGATAGTTAAGTTTCCTTCGTAGCACATAGTTCAGGATCCTCTTAAACACTTAATTAAGCTAATGGCAGTATTTTGGATTTCTGTTAATCGCAAATCAGTGTCCCAACACTGAAGAAAAAAGAAGAAGGTTAGAGACGCTCAGGGCAAAGAGTCCGGAAATATCCACAGCATGCCTCCTTGCTCTGCAATTCTCTTAAGAACACTGTTTAGTATCTAAAACAAGTAGAACAGCATTTTTTCAGAAAACACCTTTGATCATAATTCCAAAGTAATAAAGTGTGTGCAGTCCTGCCTCTAAATGTATAGCCATAAATGTAAATTGCAAGGCAGTACTTCCTGAATGTATGAACTGACGGGATGGTGGTGGGGAGGCAGATTTTTCAAAAAGCGATTGAAGCCAAATAAGCTTCTCTGAAAATAGTTCTCATAAATTTCACAGGCACCAGTGAATGGAATTTTATTCCAAATTGATCCAGTTTATGTACCATACCTTAAACATATTTTTACAGTGAAGATCGTGTACAGCAATGCCCATGATAAATGCTCAACAAGGATTTGCTCAGTGAATGAATGAGGACCAAGCCTCAATCTGAGTTTTGTTTTGGTAACAGGGAGATGACAACATAGGCTAAAATCTAAATCTAGCAGGGCCTTATTTTAACTGCTACTGTAAAAGAATAAAATCTATCTTTGCAATTCAATGCAAGAGACACATTAGATTCCCCCTAGAAAGAATAAAGTGGGGGAGAGGAAGGACAGAAGGGGAAAAAAGGGGAAGGAGTAGCTTACAATACCAGAAGGAGCTTCTCCAAGGATGACATGGGTCAGATCTCAAGCAAGCAAAAGGGCCCCATTCTCACTTAACACTCAAGGGCCAACCAAAAACTGAGATGAAGTATTCTACTTCTATAAAACTGATCTTCCACTTGACTCTTGTATCTCAGGGGAGACGGGGTAAGCTCAGTGTAAACAGGACTTATTCCTTTCTGTAGCGTTTCACCTACCACGGCGTACTTGTTGAGACAGCCAAGTGCTACAAGACAGAAAACCACCACACAATCGGCAATTCCTAAAGGACTATGTTATGGGATGAACTGCATCCCCCACCAAATTCACAGGTGGAAGTTCTAACTCCCAATACCTCAGCATGTTACCTTATTTGGAAATAGAATGATACCTTATTTGCAGGTATAATTAGTTAAGATGAAGTCACACTGAAGTAGGGTGGGCCCTTAATTCAATATGACTATTGTCCTTTTTTTTTAAGACTTTACTTATTTGTCAGAGAGAGTGAGCACAAGCAGGGGGAGCGGCAGGCAGAGGGAGAAGCAGGCTCCCCGATGAGCAAGGAGCCCGATGCAGAACTCAATCCCAGGATCCTGGGACCATGACCTGAGCCACCAGGCGCCCCAGTATGACTATTGTCCTTATACAAAAAAGAAAGGTGAACAGACAGGCACATGGGGAGAAGGCCATGTGAAGACTGGAGGTATGCTATCACAAGCCAAAGAACTGCTGGAAGCCAGAAGAGAGAACTAAACAGATCCCTCCCTGGCACCTTCAGAGGGAGCACGGCCCTGCGGACACCTTGGTTTCACACACCTGGCTTCTAGAGCTTGGAGACAATAACTACCACTTGTCCTTCTAAGTTCCCAGTGTGCAGTACTTTGCTCTCGCAGCCTCATTAAACTGATACCAACAGTAAGGGGCTAACATGCACCAACCAGCCCACCCCCTTCTCGCTGCATCTCAGCTCTGGCTTCCCGTCCCATGGCCACTTGCCACCATGTCAGCTCAGGCCCCACTACCTCACTCTTGGGCTGCTGCCTGGTCTCCCTGACTTCAGATCTACCTCCACCTGCTTCAACCGCCAAACTCACCTGCACAGCACCATGACATTAACGTTTGAAAGATGCCAACTTCTTTGCATCACTCTCTACGTAAAATAGCTCTAGTGACTCACCAATTCCTATCAGAAAAAGTCCAGATTCTCCTGCCTAGCATTCAGGCCTCTCTCTTCTAAGCTAGCTCCAACTGCTAAAGCGACCCTGGAACACACCACCATTATTCTTGATGCCATGCTTCCTCCCCTGCTTGTCACTCTCCCCCTTCAACTATCCAAATCTTGACCATCCCATGGACACTACAGCCAAGACCTGCTTTCACCTTGATGTTCTCTCTATATACTCATGCCCACAGCAACGACCACATCTCTGACCTCTATGTGTTTACTACTTGTATCTGTCTTTTTGCACTCATCAAAGACTGCCTTGCATGGTTACCTAGCATGTTAAAAGTGCACACTTTGATTCCATAGCTGGACTATGAGCTCCTTAGGGATAGGGTTCATGTTTTACAATTCTAGGGGTATTTCTCAAAGCCAAAGACAATGCTAGGTTTATTTTTTCTTAAAAAGATTTTATTTATTTATTTCAGAGAGAGAGAGACAGAGAGTGCAAACATGAGCGGTGGGGGGGCGGGGGCGGTGGATAGAGGGAGAAGCAGACTCCTCACTGAGTAGAGAGCCCAATACAGGGCTCAGTCCCAGGACCCTGGGATCATGACCCAAGACGAAGGCAGATGCTTAACTGACTGAGCCACCCAGGTGCCCCATGACAATGCTAGGCTTATTATAAGCAAGCACTAAGTTCCTAAATTCTTACTGAATTAACTATTAAACATACATTATAAATTCTTAGAAATGTTACTTTTGGCTCTTCCTTCAGCTAGGAACTTAAAATTGAACAAATCTATAGATTTTATATCAGCCTAATGGTTCCACAGATATACAAATAATTTAAAACCTACAAGGAACAGGAAAAAAAAAAAATTCTTAGGATTCTTAGTCCCAAGTTACTTACCATTCTTCATCACTACATTGGACCATACATTTGCATTCAAGGCTTGAATGATTCGCTTTACTCCTGTAGATTCTGGGAAATCATCTAATCAGAGAGGGGAAGCAGATATATTATACACACGTTTATACACATATACATATACACGTGTGTGTATGGACCCCCCAAGCCATACTTCTAAATAACTGCGGCTTAGTTCTCTTACACATTTAGTTGGTACTTCACATTGTAACTTACTTAGTAAAGAAAAAAATACAGAGCTCAGAGCTCTTGATAAGAATATCCTAGCAAGTAAAACAATGAAATAAATGCACTTTATAAAAGGTTTCTATGATAAAGTCATCTCTATCACCTCACCAACGGAATCTACTCATATTTTCCTGAAAATGTTAGTTCCTGTTAATTACACAATCCTGGCATAGCATTGGAAACACCAATTCTGGCTATTTATGGAGAATGAGTTTTCTGAAGGCAAGAATGGTCCTCTTGGTATGCCATAAAATGCTGTAAATGCCCTACCTTCTTCTGGGAATCATAGAATAACAATTATTGTTTAAAATGGGTATTCGGAGAACAATTTCTTGATTAGAGGAAGAAAGTTTAAGAGAAGTAAAATTACTATAATCATAATTGTAGGAGACAGGCAAGGGTCATTAAAAAAACCAACAACTTAGTTTGGCTGGGTTAGTACTGGTACTATTTGCTTCTGGAATTTAACTGATACTCCTCAAAATAACAGGGCAGTAATCCCAGTTAGCATACTAATAAGCTGACATTCTTAGTTTGTAGATATATATATGATGGAAATGAGTGTTATGATTGGATATGGCAAATGATGGCAGAAGTTGTTTTCACGTGGCTGAAGGAAAAAGTCTCCTAAGAGCTTACGGAGCACAATCCACATAGAACCTGTGTCTAGGAGCCTGGCCAGGCACAGAATTAGAAGTCAGAAAATCTGAACTGGAACTCAGGCTCTCTCTTTTTTTTTTTTTTTTTTAGTATTTTATTTATCTGACAGAGAGAGAGCTCAAAGGAGCAGGAGGAGCAGCGGAAGGAGAGGGAGAACTCAGGCTCCATTACTTGTTAGCTATTTGATCAAGGGCAAATCATGTATGTTATTCTCAAAGAAAAGTGGGGCTGGCGCCATCTGCACACACCTCTCCCAGAGGAAAGAGGCGCAGGAACTGCTAAGTCACTGATGAAACCGCCCCCTCTAGGCGGAACTCGCCGCCTAACTCGGTGCCCGAAGGACAGCAGACCGTACTGACTGAGGGGTGGATGGATCATCTGAAGAATATCAACCTATTAACCTAACAGAAATATGGCACAGATTAAACTGGAAATACAAAGATGAGTTTTATCACCATCAATGTTTAAATGAAGAAATAAAAGGCATGTTTACCTGAACTATGAGTGATTTGGTTCTTAAAAGGATAACTAACACTTCAGATGACAGAACCAGAAACCAAAAATATGGTCTGAAATAAAGAGCTAGCACCAGTAAGATGAAATCTAACCCAAACAAGCAGAGTCTCACACTGGTGTTAGGTGTCAGGACACATGCGTACAAAGTTCACGGTTTGTTTTTAAGAATTCTGGGGAGGATTTCATTACTTCATCTAAAGATATGTCAAAATCTATTTTAATATTAAGCGGAATTAATGCAAGAACATTGTTCAGACAAGGAGCAAGGAGATGGGTAGTGGTGTAAGGGAGAAGAAATTACAAAATAGAAACAGATTTAAATAAATGACTCAAATGTGGACTCTGCAGGACAAAAGGAAGAAGATAAAATTGTAGTGTCAGAAATAAGCAGTTATGTACGTGCTCACATACACAAAACAAGGCCTAAGTTTAGGGGACCTGAAAGACATGGGAAGAGAAATTATACTTGTTAATTTTCAATTATTTAAAAATGTACAGGGAGAAAAATCAGCCTTTTTATCCTCTTCTTCTCTGGCAGGGTTTTATTCCCAAAGGTAACATTTTGGAAAAATTCTAAATAAGCCAGAATATAAAAAGAGATTTAATTCCTTTCTAAAAAAAAAATTAGGTTTCATAGAGCGATTACTTATATCCTATCTATGTACTCTAATTCAGATTGGTTGTCTCCTAGAATGTCTTTTGCAACAACTGGCATCCTCTCAACGCCATGTCCCTACTGGTCCCCTCACTACAAGCCCAGTGCCTTTCCCATTGCTTCCCCATGGAGCAAGTGACATGTGAAAGGTCACGATGCCACCCATTTCTAAAGAGAAATAATCTCTCCCATCTCTGAAATACCACAGCACCAATATATTTTTTTAAATATTTATGACATTCCACTTGGCAATTCAATTGTTCATATATGTATTTATCTCTTGTACTGGACTATGAGGTTTTGGTGGCCACAAACCTGTCTTCTCTTGGTAGGTCCCACGGCACCTAGCACAGGTGTATATGGAAGGAAAGCAGCTGAGAAGAGCAGTGGAGGAAGAAACAGAAGGTCCAGAGTATCACTGAAGGCAGTTAAGTGAAGAGCTACCCGGTTGTTGCAAAAGACATTCTAAGAGACAACCAATCTGAATTCTAAAGGAAACAGCTTACATTTAAGTGAAGAGCTACCTGGGGGTGGGGGGCATTCTGGGTCTATTTTTGGTTTCACGTGTCCAGAGGACATAGAAATAGGGCTGATATGCCCCTTAAGGTTCCTGGGAATTCAGCCTCAGGATGTGAGAAATTCAAAATAAGGAACATAAACTTTAACTATTTAGTGTATAGATCAAACCCTCTTTTTTTGGCAGCGGACAAAGGATAAGAGATTGAGGAAACAACTAAGATTTAAGGTAGAAATCTACCTTTATCTATAAGAAAAACAAACAGTATTTGAAAAGTCCTAACGTGTGGTAAAGCCAAAACAATGGATTTGGTTAATAGTAAGACCACACCGATGGGTTTTGCACAAATCTCTTCAAACAGCTGAGGAAAAAATGTTTTTTGAATTTCACTTGGATTCTTCTTCCCTGGATTGAAATAGTCCTTCATATCTGAATCCAAACGCCATGTTTCTCCTGACACATAAATACTTACCATCCTCCTCAGGCAACTCTTCCGGACTAAGTTCTACCAATTCAAAACCATGTTTGATGCACCATTCTTGAGCTTTTTGTCGGTTTACACCTAATGTGCAAAAGAATCTTCATAAGTAAAAAATTTTTAAAACAGAATATTGCTGCAATACTCTCCATAAATCTCAGTGTTACCCGTAATGTAAGTTATTCTAAAGGCATCCAAAATAAATATAAAGAAAATGATTTCTCAAACCCAAAGTGTCCATTCTTAAAAAAATAAAGTATAAATATTGCAAGATTCCAAAGAGAAATAGCTAAAAATACTTCTGTAAAGTAATATAATCACAGGAGATGTACTGTTCTTAAGAAAACAAAAGTATATTCTGTTTACCAAGGGACAGCAATTATATATACCAACCATGGTCCCGTCGGCATGCCTTACCATTTTCACACACTCTGTCACAGACCAGGATCATGACCTCAGGTAACCATGCTTCTGCCAGTGGAAGCCATGAGGAAACACCATCAAGACCAGATTTCTAGAGGGAGGAAAAACAAACATACAAACAACCAGAAGAAGAGACCGTAAGAGAACTCACAGAAAAGGCTGGGGGCGGGGGGGGGCGGGGGGATGGGAAGAGAGTACCAAGTAATTTCTTATTCAAGGTCCCTGGCGAACCAAATCTTACTTGTGTGCTGTCGAAGTAAACCACAAATGCTTGGACAGACTCCGCGATTTCTGCAGTGATGAGAAATTTGTTTGGCACCACACACAGATTGATATCTGCTGAATAGTATTTATTATCAATGGTCCAAGGATAAAACCTCACGGCATCATCGGCAGTCACTTCCACAATAAGATCTTCCGTTCCAAGGATATCTAAACAAAGGACAAAATGTTACCATGGAAAGTGCAGCACCGAGACACACTGGTCAAGTCTCTCAAAAAGATACCAGACTTGGGTGCCTGGGTGGCTCAGCGGTTGGGCTTCTGACTCTTGGTTTCAGCTCAGGTCATTATCACATGAGTCATGGGGTCAAGTCCCACATCAGGTTCCACACTCAGCGGGGAGTCTACTTGAAGGTCCTTTCCCTCTGCCCCTCCTACCACTCGCTCTCTCGCTCTTTCTCTCAAATTAATGGGTAAATCTTTAAAAAAAAAAAAAAAGACACCAGATTAATATGGTGCTTCACCTACTTCTCTTTGTTAAGGATTTCAAAAGGTCTCCCATTTATCAGGGTATTTTCTTCTCAATCATTTGACTGTAAAAGTAATGGTAACATAACTTAACTCATTGGCTTTTGTTTTTTAAGAACACAAAAAGGACTGTGACTAGATTAAAGACAAAATAGTCATGTAACCAAACACCCAGAAAAGAGCAAGAAGAAGAGAAAAAATAACAGCTTACATTTATTTTATTGCTTACATACTTGTGAGATGGAAGGTTACAAGAATCTTCAAGAATCTGTAACTATTCTGTCCTTATTGCAAGCTACAAGGAAGGTAGCAGTAAGGCTAAGCCATTAATAAAACAAAAGCTACACATCTTCCCTGGGCCAAATGCTTATACATTAATTCAACTAATCATATAAAAGAATGGATACTGAAAATGACCCCAATTCCATTTATATTCAGTCTTGTTCAGATTCTTTGAAAGCCAACTCTAATTTTTGTTTGATAAAGACACTTTTGGCATAATTTAAATACATAATAGCCAAGCAAATTTAATTATTTAGAATATGCCTAAATCCTTCAGAAACCCATGTGCAGCATGGCTATAACTAACAAAATTCTTACAGTAAAAGCCAAGTCAATGAAGAACAAATAGAGATGAGGTCACGGAACCACCGAAGCAGCCTGCTTCCATAATGCCATAAAATATTCAGAAGTGGAAAAACATTAGAAATTGTTCTAACCTAAACTCCCATCTCTCACATCCATACCCACAACCTCCGTTTTATACAGATGTGGAAAGTAAGCTTAGAGAAGTAAAATAACATACCACTAAAACTGGGTTATTATAAGAATATATGGCAAAATGGCCACAAACTCCTTTCGACACAAACGAAGATGAACATAGAAAATATCCCTCAAACTCACAATTAGCAGGACACAGAAAACTAGAAGCTAAACTTTCAATTCCAGAACACTGCCATAGTTTTTGCTCAATAAAAAGATATGGGGAAATTACTTAGTCCAAAAGACTGCTAGGAATAATGTATAATAACATATAAAGTGTGTATGTGACATATGCATGCTTTTCATTGGTAAACTTTCATCATGTGGTTACGAGGAGGAACCAGACTGAAAACAAAACCCCTTTTTTTTAATTAAAATAGAAAACTAAATTTAAAATAGATGTAAGACTACATTTGACATACGGTGCATTGTGAAACTAACTTTCTTAAAATTTTTCACCACAACCACAATTGTTACTTTTTAATTACCATGAGATCTGTGCCCATATTTGAAAATCTGAGTTTATCTTGTCTCTTTAAGAAATCAGCAGTTCTTGCTGCTTAATTTCTACCTAAAGTAATCTTTTACTAATTATCAGTCAATTCCATAGCAACCAGCTACAATGTCCTTCAGGGAGCATTATGACAAGTTCAGGTAGGAAATAAGCAGGAGGAAGAACAGATAAAGTATGACAACCAAAGATTCTGTTTTCATGTAAATGTCTCACAGGAAAAAAAAAAAAAAAACCCCTAGATCAAAGTCTATGTTGCATTCAAAGCTAATCTTCCAAACTTCAAGCAGGTGGCATAGCAATATGCCGATAAAAGCACATATGGAAGAAGGCAAACTAAACCAAGGGAAGTAGCAAAAAATGTATAAACTGATTTTTTTTTTTTAAGGGTAGGAGGAGCCACCAGATGGAATCAGTTTTCTTCATTCATGGGTAATTTTTTAAAATAACGAATTAAATGTTTGTTTTTTTTTTTTAACTGGGGAAGCACAAAGGGTAAAATGTGTTAAGGGGCAGAGTACAGGGAGCACGGGACAAGGACTCCTACCATCATCACAACCAGTTCTTGATATTTCCTAAATCGGTGGTATTGTTAAAAATTGGAAGAAAATTTCAGTTATGCTTTTTTGAAATACTGTCTTCAACGAACATGAAAAAATAAAGTCCATGAAGGTGTCATCTACTTACTAGCTGCAATTTAGGATATTTGGATCCATTAAGGGTGGCTGGTTTTATTAATCAATGTGTAGAATACAAGACAATAAACCAATGTATGTTAATCAGAGCTCTTAAAAATTTTATATTGTCTCTGATTTTCAAATGAGGAAGATATTTACTGAACACACAGAAAGAAGCAATTTCTCTTTTCTCTAAACCTAGATGAGAACAGAACCAGTAATTTGGGAAAACGAATTCCACCTTTTGGGTGTTTTAGTAGCTATGCGTGTGTTATTTTTCTTATTCCTTGTGCTGCCTAGAATAACTTGATAGCTCAATTTACTTATCAGATTATTTTTAACATTTTGTGTCTAATCAGAGACTTTCGGCGAGGCCGCATATGGACTTTATTATCACAATCTGTGCCATCTCACAACTAGAGAAGAGTGAATGGTCTCATTCTTCTTGTCATCAATATCATAATGTACAGTTTAATTTAAAAAATGTAAATGTCTACACTAAATATAGCTTTTCTCGCTCATCTTTTCTATTTGGTTTCAAACGTCTAACACATTTATTCTTTTCCAGATTAAAATAAAAATTGCTCAAATGCTTATGCACATGACTAAGAGTTTCTGGAGATCAGCCAGGATCGTTTACTCATTTCACAGATGGGAAAACTGAGGGCCAAAAAAAAAGAAGCCACTTGCCTGAAGGAGAAGAGTCTAAAATGAAATTCAGGTCACCAGCATTTTTTCCTTCTACACTAGTGCACATGTTTAGCATCTGAGACAGAATACACTCAAGTGTCCAATGGTCACAAGCCAAAACTAACCTATGGGCCTACAGTATCCCCCGCTCTTTTAGGAAAATCAAAAATAACAGCCAGAACAAGGGCACCAGAATATACAAGCCGAAACACAGTTAACCCATTCAAAAACTGTGTATGGGTTGGGGGTATTTATATGTCCCAAGTTGAGTCAGAGTGATCCTGTAGGGGTTTTTTGCCAGACTTCCTAGAAAACCCTACAATGTTCTTTTGCCCTTCTTTGCCCTTCCCTAAGCTGACTTTTGATGTAGTCAAAATGATGCACAAGTAAAATCAAGAGCAGCTTCTCCCTCCTCCTGGTGGATGTTGGCCTGTCTCATTGCACTGCTGGCAGCCACCTGGTGGAGCTGCAATACATCATTTTCTAAGAGACAAATACTAGATGATTAATTGCCAGTCTGTTACCACAAACTTGGTCTCACAGCTTAAAATAGTTAATCCGTAATGCTTTCAGATGAGAAGTTAAATGTCAACCCAGTTCCAGGAGCAAGGATAAACCTTTCCCCCGGTTTTAAGTGCAAGTATAAAGCTCTTTCCCTGTTTGAGAAACTGTTATACATAGCCATCAATTCTACAGCAACTCCTATTTATTTCTCATTTCTTTCATGAACTTATTTCCCCGAGAGTCCCACATGGCAAGTGAGTGACAAGAACAATTCAAGAGAGCTGAAGAAAACTACATGCCAAGGAAGCATGTCAGTTCAGCAACCCAACCACCCCTCTGTCCTCAAGCCCGCTTCGTGCTTCTTCCGTCTGTTGTAATGCCGCCTCCCTCACAGAGTGTAAAACTGGAAAGCAATCACATGGAAGGCGGCATTAGCTTTCTTTAGTTCAGAATCAGTAAGAGGTAATAATCTCTTTGGCA